TATTTGTTGGTGACAAGCAGAGCTCCTTCTGGAAGTCAAAAAGCCACATTCTTAGAGGATTTCCTCCTGCCCCCTCTGGTCCTCTATAATTCTCCCTCGAGGTGGAGGTCAGAGGGTGCAGGCTAAAGAAATGCTTCTTGTTAAAGCTTTACAATTCACCCCCTGCCAACGTGAAGTGTTCCTGACGACTGCAATTCCCAGCACAGTCCTGAACAACAGCAGAGTTGTAGTCCCGAACAGAACCCCTCCATTTCCTTAACCAGTGTGGAGGAAGGCTGTCCTGCTTTCTGGGTGAGGGACCAGCACCAACTTCCCTTCTCTGCAAACACACTGCAGCTCTTTTGGCTTGGATCCCACCCACAGTGACACACACCATCTTTTTTTATTTTCTGTGCAGTTCATTAAGTGTCTCTCTAACTGCGATCCTGGCTCTGACTGACAGCAATTGATTGAAATTTTTTTAACCACAAGCTCTGTCTGAATGAAGGTGGCAGGGAAGTGTTTGATGTTCAGAAAGCTTCCAGGGTATCAGATGGCTTCAAAGAAGTGCATGCAAAGAAAAGCAGGATGAGAGGTCCCGTGAAAAACTTAGAGCACACAGAGTAAATAATTTCAAAGACTGTGTAAACAGGGAACCAATTTAAAATCTGAAAACAGTGATTACAACTCCCCCAGTCTGCCTGATAACCTTACAATTAATTGGCCTGTAAGACTCTTATTTAGGAAACCAGGACGGAAAAACAGGGGGGGAAAGCACCTATTAGAGTGTTTTTTACTATATCTTCTTTCAGTAGAGATTTGGTGCCCGTATGTATTTCCAGTGTTTCACGCAGCAGAGATTTAATTGATGCACAGTAGCAATCCCTAGTACTGTGCAAAAGGGACCAACATCAAAATACTTTTTTTTTTTACTAATAAAAAATTATTCTGAACATTTAAGAAAATTAATTTGCTCAAACACCAACTATTTACTCTCTTTGAATTGCCTTAAATATTTTTTTTCTCCCATTCAGCTGTACCAAATTAAGTGGAGATAAACAGAAACCTGTCTCAAGTATCCTCTCTCACTAGACAGAGGATTATATAAATAAGACTCATCCAAGACAAGAGGTTCACCCTGACCACACATATAGTTAGCAGCACAAGTGTCCTAGAGGGAGCATAGCTACCAAAAAAAGTGCTGAGGAAAAAGCAATGTGTGGATTTGGAAATGCAAGATAACAAGGACACATCCTAACACAAACTTGGGTAACCTAAAAGGCAGATGGAGTAGATGACCTGAGAGAGGCTAACTCTGTACAAAATAGCTGATATGGCATTTGGAACCTCATATTGAATAAGAACCATTTCAGAAAACAGGCTTAGGAGACAAATGTCAGGGACTGTGTGATTTCTCTGAGCAATCCTGAGGATGATCAAATTTGTTCCTGGGGCTTTTCTTCCTGCCTTAATGGCTATGCAGATCCTCACCCACAGCTGGGCTGCTGGTGGATTATGAACCTTGGTAACCACTCTGATGGGCTTTTCACTACATTCCCTCATCTCATCTTCAGTTGAACCCATCTTTCTTTTTCTTAGATACCGAGAAGACAACATGTTCAGATGAGATATCAGTGCTCCCTTAGGAGTCAGCCAGAGTTGCTCTCATCCATGCCTGGACACCTTGAATGTGAATGAAACCTAAATTACTATCAGCTACACCATATAATTGCCCTGTTGTCACACACACAATTATATTGTTCTCTCCTCCCTTCCATAAAGATGCATCTCAGAATTTACACAGGATTTCAAGGCTATTGCTTCCCCTTCCTCAGGGTGTAAAACAACTACAGACACACACATACAAGAGAGTTTGGGTCTGTTTTGAATCCTATTCCTGTTCTCCCCAGTGCACTTTGAACTGAAGTACAATCTCTATGACACCCATCGTTTCTCCAGAGGCAGATCAATAATACGTAATAGTGAAACAAGTAACTGCTTTAACTTACATCACTTTGAGACTTATTATTCAGGACCATTTGAGGCCTCATTGTGCTGGTTTTCCAACACACTTTGACTATTTGTGAACTGGGTTATTTTTCCCCACCATATGTTACTCCATTATTTCCTGTGCCGAGTTCCACTGTAGCTGTCAGACGCATTCCTGACCTCTCTTCCATTACAACAAAGGCAGAAACTCCCTTCTGGTACTGGAGTGGATGCTGATGAGGTTATATTCATAGTCTCTGATCAATTGTTATCATATATCTCTGTCTTTTTCTAGTGGTTGCAACACTGCCTATTGTAGTATTATTTGTAAATGTAATTAATGAGGTGTTTATGTACTCTTCAAAAATCGTTAGGATGTTAAATTAAACTGCATTTAGTGGTGCACCCTGAGTCACCCTGCATGCTTTGGTCCAGCTCAATACATTGCCATTCATCATCACTCTCTATTCATAATGCCTCCAGCAATTCTAGCTCCTTTGACACAATTCATGTTCAAAATACTTTCAATTGTGGTGGGGCTTTTTCCTCTTTTTGCAATAATTCTTAGACTTGTCCTTTCTGTTTTGAAGGTAACAGATCTGTGCTGTTTCAATCTAATGCCTTCCTGCTTCCCTCTCATTTATTACAACTGCTAGTGCACCGATGCTCTCTGGTTTAGTTAATTCTTTTAGCATACTGCAACTTGCTATCACCAATACCTATTTATTCATGTGTCATTAACATATAGCTTTTCCTCATTATCTACTTTAAAATTCCTTGTTTTTCTCTCTCACATACTTATTTCATCTTCTTGTTAAAGAGGCAATCACAATAGGCCATCCATTGGCACAGCTCTTCCTTATTTTACACAGGTAACCCTTTTTCCCTCCCAATTTTTTTCTGTCTTTGTACCGCAAATATTTCTGTTGCCATAACCCAATCTACACTCAAATGTTGTCTGTTTGAGTCAATTTGAATCCTTTGCTCCCTCTATTGGGTCTCTGCATGCCTCAGAAGTCTGAAGATACTTTAATTCACTTTCTTTCCCTTCCCTCTACACCTACAGATCTTGTGAAACCCACTTACACTTCGCATTCTTTTCCTTCAGACTCACAGTAACCTACTGTTCCCTACTTAAATTAATACACATTTTACTTTTCTCCAGGCTTGATTTGTTCATTAGGACAGACACTCAAGTAGCCTTCACTGCCCAAGGCATCACTGAAATCACTGGACTTAGGGCTTTGCAGAACAGCCCATGATTTGTCATGTGGCATTTAAAATCCATATTGCTTGCTAAGCTTCTAAATGCTGCTATGAATGAATGGCTCTTGGCTCCTGTTCAGTTTGTGCAGCTGTGTTCTGCAAGTCTGGGTGCTGAGTATTTTTTATCTCAAACAGGTGCACAGTCAACAACTCTTAACCAGCAAGGAAGTAACCTGCGGATGATTTCTCCTGTGGTTATGTTTTCTCATTAAAATATCAGGCCAGTTTCCATTAGCAAAATCCTTTTTTTATTATTCCATGTTAAACATCATGCTATCACCTAGAATGTCCTAAAAATTACAGACTCTCTACAGATATAAGCATTACCTGCGTTGACCAATGCCCACTGAAGTTTTCCCTTTGTTATTTCAATACTCTTTTTTGACACCCGTTCATAATAATTATTCTATTTCCTTTTTCCCACATCGTATCAGGAACTTTATTCACACTAACCTGAATGCCCTAAATTGCACAGAGCAGGCAGAAACAAGGATGGATGTAGGAGCAAAGCCTTTACTGACTCCAATGAGAATCACAGCAGGACACAAACATCCTTCGGTGTTTAAGCACCACCAGAGAGGGGTTCAAAACATGCCCACCAACCCAAGGTTGTTTTCATCTCTAATTTTTATACCTAAAGTTGGAAAAAAACCAAACCCACCAAAGAAAACGAACCCCACAATGGTCTGTATTATGGCAAAAAGAGGGATTGCTGGGCACCATTTTGAGAAGCAGAGAGAGGATGTCATGAGCACAAAGTGTTGAAGAGCAGAGCTCTTTTTCCAAAAAGAAAGAAATGAGTGATATTCATCAGGTCTAACTGAATGGCACAACTAACTTCAGTTCAAAGCCCTACAAACTGTCCTGCCCCTCTCCTCAAAAAGTTTCATTTTCCACTTGTGATATTTCAGTGTTAATAGCTTCCCTTTACTGAATATTAGATCCTCATATAACACCATTGGTTCAGCTTACATTTTTAAAGATTGTGTGTATGTTTGCATTCTAAGCTGCCAAACATATGTGCTATCATATAACCAGCCAAAATGACCCCAAAAGTGTGAAGTCAGGCTCAGAAAGGAAATTCTTTCTCAAACCTAAAAGGAACTAACCTATGCAGATGTGAAGAGTTAAGCTGCAACCGTGTGAGCTACAGAATTAAAGCTCCAGAGCTGGAGCGGGAAAAGCTCCTTTTCTCTGTGCCTTTTTAAAATTTGGCACTTTCAGGTACAACAGTCTACTATGTATTTCAAGTTCTATGAACTTTATAATTCCATGAAATATCACATAATAGGCTATGCTATGATTGATTTTGGTGAGAGGGTGCTAAAACCAGTGACAATCGACCAATACCCTTATTTTTAGGAAGAAATATTAATGGGTAGAATAAGCAACAAATTAATCACTTCTCAGCTATTTAGGAGGCTATACTGCATGCAGTTAACCTCATGACCAGTGGTTTCCTAGGGTTTTTTAATAAATAATACAATATAAGAATGAGCCATGAGACCAGCTTCCTCCCTTCTTTAATAAGACAGCTGCTTGTACTCCTACTACTAGGCACACTTCCCCTAACTCCTAAAATAAGCTTAGCCCTTTCATCTAGCAATTGTTTTTGCTAAATCATGTTTAACTTTTTGGGTTTTCATAGCACGAAGAAATGTAAGGCAAGAAATGTATCTGGAAGCTTACAATCATAATTATTCTACATCAAGGAAAGTAAGATCCAAACTAGAAAAAACAATTACGTGCTCTCCCACAATACTTACGATTGATCTGATGTTGTATTCTTTTGCCAGTTTCAGAGAGGACTTATAGCAACTTGCTAAATTTTCTTTATGAGTGTCAGTGAGGTAGCCTCTTGCAATTGGCCCAACAGTATGGATCACATCTGTAGTGAATAAAAAAAGAAGATAAAGAAACATTAAAGATGCTGCTGTACGGCACATCAATCCAATCTGGTATTATTGCTACACACAAAGGTAGGAATAACAATGCAAGCAAATGTATTTAACTGGAAAACACAGCATAATCTACATGTGCAATAATTAAACATAAATCACTAAAGGTTAAATTCTGAAGAATTTGGACTAAAGGAGAAAATGAGAAACATACGGTGAATGCTTGTTACATGTCTACTGCAATGCACACACAAGAGAGATGAAATGTTTGCACAAATCCTCTAAATCTTCAGGCTTCTACAACTGTAAATACTGTAGCACTTTGAAACAGTTGTTCTCAGTCCTCAAAGTCCACTCACTGGCAAAGTTCACAACAGAGAACCTCAGTGCACATTGTTGGTGATACACAGGCCATCTTTGTTTTTCCTCAGCAACCATTTGAAAAGAAGTTGAGACTTAGAAATGTGCTGGTTATTCAGAAAACATGCTTTCCTCTCACATCAGACCAGATGGAGATGCCATGCAATAAAACAAAATATTCTGTTTGAAGAAATTTATAACGAGCAAAAAGAGAAAGCACAGTCATCTCAGGTATGATGCCTTTGGACTCATCAAAATCAGATGCTGCAATCAATCAAAGTCTCTAAAGTGCTGTAAGAAAATTCAATTCAAGAGCCTGGAGTAAAAAAAGTCTTGAAAAGAAATCTACAAATTAAAAGGTATCATGATTTTTTTTTTTTAATCTCCCCCCTTCCTATCCCCCCAGTTCTTACGAAGCACATTTACTTTTTACACATCATTCCTCTACAGTATATGTGAGCATAATAAAATGAGTTATGGTGGCAGATGTATAATTTTTTTGCCTTTCCTTAAAATTTCCTACAATGTATAGCAGAAATAAACAGTGGCATTGTTTGGGTTTTTTTTTTTCAGTGTTGCACAAACAAGGATTAGGCCAACACTTTAAACTGCAGTACTGCTGGTGCCCTTTTTGGTTGTGTTTCTGTCCCATGTGGGTCAGGTTTCCAAGCAACATCTGCTCTTGCTACACTCCAGAATATTTTAATTTACTCAGAAATCCTACAGAATTAACACCATTATTTCTTGTCCAAGCTGGTTTTGCTGATTTCCATCCAACATATGCCAAAGTATGAGAGAAAATGGACAAACTAACATTAAATTGTACACTGTCTTTCTTTAAACACCGACCTCATCTGTCAAATCCTGCTCTCTGCTACTTAAAAGGTGGCTTTTATGTTGAGCCATAATGTTCTCAAAAAATCAGAATCTTGTCCTATACATTAGCCACAAAGTATTGATAAATCAGGAAATTAAAGCACGTCTGATTCCCAGTGCCCAGAAATACGGAGGAATCCGCTGTGATGGAAACTGAAACCTATAAAAGCTAAATTTTCCAACTGCTACAGAAAACCCCCCTCCTGTGAAGTAAATAAAAGGTTGAGAACTCTTCTTTCCATTTTGATCACAGTAATTTTCTCCAGTTGCGGGAACAAGATGGACAGATTGGATAATTTCTGTTGAATGTCACAGCTGCTAGATACCAGCTTCAGAGAGCCCTCCCTACAACTGAGCCATCAAGCAGGTGTTGAGCCTTTATCCACTGACAACCAGGATGACAGCAGGACACTAAAACAACCTGTGAGTTCAGAAAAGAGTTACATTCTCACATGTGTTTTAGCTACTATCATAAACTGAGAACTATTAAGAAAGGACTTGAGAAAAGGAAAGAGCTAGTTTAAAATTTGCTTCTGTGTGCAGAGATAAGGTTGTGTGAGTACTTCCATTACCAAAGACTGTAATTTCTGTTCATGACTATAGCAGTTTCCTGGAGGTTGAAACTTTCCAAGGAACATTTCTATTTGGAAGTGCTGGCAACTTCAGCGAAAGGAAAAAAAAAAAAAAAAAGAAATCTCAACTTTTCCCCCTTGTTTTTTATTTTATGACAGGTGAACTTCAATTATTGAGCCAGAGATTTAACAGTGGACTTGGCAGCTTGGGTAACCGGATGGACTTAATGACCTTAGAGGTCTTTTCCAACCTAAATGATTCTGGGATTCCACAGGGAAAGGAATATACCCATGAATCTCATCTCAGTCAATTTCCCTCTGTATTTACAGTCACCAAGATCGGAGTTATCATGATGAATTTCAAATTCAAAATACCCAGCAGCCAACAAGCAAATAAAGGAACAACTATAAAATCAACTTTAAAAGAATGTGTAAAGGATGATTAAGAAAAGAAAAGAACCATAAACATTTCCCTCTTCCGGCTATGGCTGACTTTCTTGCATTTCAATGTGCAGCTCCTTGAAAGCTGAAGTATAAGGGCTTAAATTATTCATTGATTACTTAAAGGCAAAATGGAGTTTTGGGGAACAGATCAAGTACCAAATTCAGGGTCTTTCTGCATGAAACTCTCACAGTATAATTTCTAGATGCACTTCACTCACTAAATATTTAGCTCAATTCCTTTAGTCTTTCATTATTAAACACTAGTTTTAAGCCTCTGCTCAAAAAATGCAAAATGTTTTTGTCATCTTTTTTTCAGAACTTCCCAATTTAGCATTTTCATAGCAACTCGTCAGCAATCCTGTACTGCTGCACCAGACACTTTATGTAAATAAGTAACCTTAAATGCAGTTATTAGCTTTTATGTTTCAATTTTTCTAAGTCCATCATAGGTGGCCCTTTAGACAGGACACAAAAGATGGTTATGAACTGAACTGGCTCTGACCAACCCAATCAAATGGGAGGCACCCTACAGCAGGGGCTTTGGAATTAGATGATGTTTGAGGTCGCTTCCAACCCAAAGCATTCTACGATTCTAAGAACTGGTTTATAAAATATCACAACTCTTGTAATTGTTTACAGCACGTTATTGGCAAAGAAATGCTTTTCTTAAGCACATGATTATTCTGAAACATATGAGAAAGATTTTGTTATCAAAGCAGCATTACTAATACACCAGTGCTTTGTGGTCGGCAAACAAACAGGGAAGTAATAATTTTATTGTTGTACATTGTCAATAAAATCAGTGCATACGTACATTTCCTAAAGTACATGTTATTCTGCTCAAGCTATTCCAAAATACCTTAAAGTTTGCAGGTGGGCAAAACCCTTTGAGATTATACAGGTATAAAGGAAACAAACCAGAAACAGAACAGCTCTTCCCCTTCCTTCAGCCCATGCAGTCACTACCTGAGGATCAGACTTCACAGGCTGAAGCAGCACCATTTATTTTTAATACATCAACAAAGACTGTCAAACTTCAAGCTTGTCTGTCACAATAAAGTTTCCTTTCTGCTCACATATTATCCTCTGCAGAGAGCTGGAGGATGGAGGAGTAGGGGAGGTCTACAGGCATTTGTCCACAAGAAAATTCAGAGCAGAACTGCTGCCCTGCTGTTCTGGCCACCCACTAGAGCAGCCAGCCTCAATTGTAAACTTCCAGCACTGCTGGCAAGGACAATCACGGATGTGCAAGCTCCAGCTGGCACCTTCCACACCCAGCCAGAACAAGGGTCCACTCTGGGGAAGAGCATGGTCCTTCTGAAGGAAAACACAACAGTAAAGGATTGTCACAGGATGGATACACTGGAATTAGTTTCACCAGAGAAGGCAAACTGGCTGAAGCAGTAAGGAGGGGTGGGAGCACCTGTCCTGGGGACGAGCATGACCATGGTCTGAAGGTACACTGTGGACACACTGGCATGAAACAGAAGTGGTCTCATCACCACTTCTGTCACCAAGACTTTTAAATTGGGGGAAATGCAGAGAAACTAAAAAAATTTACTTAGTTTGGCTGGAAAAGCTGACTCCTGTTTGCTCTTGTAGCATCTGCACCCTTCGGGGTCCAAGCACTTCTCAGTGAGGTCAAACAGGTGTAAGGGATGCAAACATTTCCCAAAAACCAAAACACGGTTTGGGATCTTCAAAACCAACTAAACAGGTCAAAAAAGGGAACAGTCATCACTCAGAGAATGCTACACTAACCATTTGCAGTACTTTAACTTTTATGTCAAAAGAAGCTGCCAGCACTGCTGTGAAGTTGCTGATTTACTGTGGTCAGTCTTCCAGCCAAGTGCACTGATAGGAAACTTCATTAAAAAGAAAGCTGCAATCCAGGGGTCCATAAATCACTTTGTGTACACAGAGCAGGGATGTTTGCTTACATTTTTAATAGTACATTGAGGTGGAGAGCCCCCAAGGAAGGTACATCCTGGGATTCAGGCCACAACAATGGATGAAATGCTTTTAATGCTAATGAAGCTGTTGGTTTAAAACAGTGTTTACTATAAGGAAAGGAGATATTTCAGAAATGAAACTACAAATGCTGTAGAATACAAACTTTATGCATAAAAAGGCCAATGAGGCTTGTTTTCTCAGTTTTTTTCTTAAAGAAGTCAATCCATACACCTTAACTTGCTGTTTTCTCACACAAGTTTTTAAGTGTACTGCTATGGAGAAAGGGAAGAGCAGCACGGGCAAGGATGAAGCATGACTTCCAGTTGAGAAGGGTGAAGAGAAATGACTGTGCTTCAAAATCCAACCTGGAGGACTGACATAAACTACTGATAATGTCATTTACTCTTCCCTTGTTCTTTGAAAATGTGACACTAGATGGCAAAAATATTAGCACAGTGAGCTTCTCCAAACAACTATAAAAGTACAAATAAGTTTCTCTCACTCCTTCCCTTACAGATGTGAGCGTGGTGCATTCACACTGTTAATGAACCACAGCCAGAATCAATTACATATTTCTCTCATTCACCCCATTTACACATTCACAGCCATAATTGGCCCATCCAGCCAACTGCATAATGAAGCTGTACCCTGTCAATCACTGCAGGAACCACATGAATTTCAAGAAGGAAGGTACTGCACTGCGTGTGCCATTGAATTTTAAAAAAGAACCCAAACTTGTAAAAAATCAGGGCATTAAGGGCTCCATTTGTAAATATTATCAGTTG